ATCACAGCCTGACATGCATTCACAAATTATGGATTGTGGCTTAGTGCTCATTAGCAGCTGGCTGATTCTTTAATTATAGGAAGTCACATTTGTATAATTGAAAATAAAATGTTTTGACTGACACTTCAAGAGTTTTCTGGTTTTCTATAAGAAGAAAATTATATATATATATATATATATATAAAATATATATATATTTTTTTATATATAATATAAAACACAGATTCCTGCAGAATCCGTGTTTGATTTGCTTGTTTGGACTGAGCAAATCAATTCAACTCAATTTAAAAGTACTTTATTTATCCCAAAGGGAAATGAAATGGAAGGCTCTCCAGTAGCAGTCAGTCTTACAACAAATCTGAATCTGCCTCTGACTGAAGAATGTTGCTGTGTTATTACAGACTAGTGACTATCATTATATACAAGGTGACAGAGATGATAGTAACGTCTTGGATGACAAGACCAGTTGTTTGCAAGGACTGCTAACCCACCTCATTTGCTTTTGCTTCTCTTTAAATCTCTCTCAATCAATCAAGATTATTTGTATAGGACATTTTGGCAACAAGGTAGTTCAATGTGCCTTATAAAAACAAAAAAGTAAAAAGTCTTAAAAAATCAAATCATTTTGAAATCAAATCACTTTGACTAGTGCCATCATCAAAATCAATAACGCAAATCGATATTCAAGTTATTATGGGTTGAAAGGAACTCTAAACAGGTGGGTTTTAGCCTTGCTTTAAAGGAACTTAGTGTTTCAGCTGTTTTGTGGTTTTCCATCAGGTTGTCTGGCTAGAGAGATGTTGGAGTAGGGGATATTGTCCTTAAAAAGGTGCTATTTGAGCTACAGAGGTGCTAATCAGCTGTTAATAGCTGTAAAAACAGTACCATGTTGCCATGGTTACACATCATAGCAACATGCATGATTGTTTGCCTGAAGCAGAGCACATTTATCACATGAAGAGTTTTCAAGAGCAAGACTTATGTCTCTGTTAGGTCAGCTGCTTTTCCCTAAGGAGCACTCGAGTCATGACTGAGAATATTCTCTGACCCTCGCCCAGTAACAAAACTATAAAAATATTCAACAAGTACGCCTTGTTTGGAGGCGATAGAGAGGAAAGCTGGTAATCTTCAAAAAGAAAATGTGAGGGTCAGAAAAAGAAAATATGAGGGTCAGATAAAATCAGACAAGAAGTTTTTTCAAAATTTCTGAGAGTGAGCTCAAAATTTCAGATTTTTTCTAGGAAATTTTGACTTTTCAAATTAAAAAATTTCCAAGTTTTTCCTGAAATTTTTTTTAGATTAATCTCAAAAGTTTTTATCTCAAAATTTTGGATTTTTTTTTCTTTTGGCAAATTTTCGACCGACTTTTCAATCTAAGAAATGTCTGGGGGTTTTTTCTGGAAAATTTTGAGATTAATCTCAAAATGTTATTTTTTTTCTAGCAAATATTTAACTTTAATCTCATAAATTTCCTTGTTAATCTAAAAAAAAATATTTTGTTTTACTGGCAGAAATGTACTTCTTTTTTCTATCTAAAATGGCACTGGTACATTGCCATTTGTTCCAGGTGTAAGTAGAAAAATCAACGAGAGGCAACAAGCATCTGCTTCCTGCTGTACCTGTGCAGCGGTGATGACGTCAGGCCACGTGGTGTTGTTTGGAGCAGGAAACGTCGGTTACGTCCTGAACGGCGACACAGTTTCCCCACTCGGTGATGAGTATCTACCCCCCGGTATGACTGTGGGAAGGTTGCCTCCTCTCCTCCTGTCCACAGGAACTTTGAATATCAGCATGTAGAGGCGGAATAACCAAATCCCACTCGGATACAGCTGCTCTTAGCCGTGGACGCAGCTAGCCACCATCTCTCTCTAGCGGTGGAGGAATAAAAAAAAAAAGAAAAAAAAAAGCCGAGCTAACCGCGGCTAGGCTAACTCCGGTGTTAACCTCCGAGCCGAGGAAGAACCGCACCGGGTCCCGGAGACGCGCTTAGACGTAGCGGGGTTTGCGTGAGAGGAGGGAAGAACATGGAGCTGTTTCAGGCTAAAGACGATTACATTCTTCAGAGCGGGGACCAGGCGCTGTGGTGCAGCAGGAAGGACGGGAGCATGGCTGTCAGACCTGGTAGGTACCAATGACAGCTGCTGGAAACGGTTTCATTTACATTACTGATGACTTTTTAATCACAAATCCACCCCTCATTCTCTCCTAATTCCTCTGGCATCCGCTCTGAAACCTGATCGTCATCAGTAAATATGATCAAACTGACTGATGTGGGTCAAATAGAATTAAAAACACGCCGTTTTTATTCTTTTTATTGTCTGTTTTTGGACGCGCTTCTATTGTAAATCATCGCTTGGCTGTTATTCAGGGAGTGCCAACACCCCAAACTGACTTCAAAGTTGTCAGCCGGCTTCTCAGGTTGCAGAGCGAGGCTTGAATTTGACCGCTTAATCTAAACTAAACACCACGCAGGAATGTACAGCAGTAAATAAGAACACGCGTCCACGTAAAGGTGAGCGATATGGACTTAAGTTTTATCGCGATATTCTGTGGCTCTGTTGTGATAGCGATAAAAGTCACGATAAGAAGTATTTATTACTACTGTTTTGGCTGTGACTGCATGGCACAGCAATCAGACAGTAAACGTTCCCATTTGTAATTCATTTCTTTAGGGCAACTCTCATTAACCTACATTAACTGCAACTCATGATATTTTAAAATTAATTGATTTTCATTCATACTACCATTGGGAAAAAAAAACTGTAGAAAATAGTTTAACAATCCCAACAATACAGACAGTTTTAGGGGGGTTTAAACGGCATTAATTAGTAATTATCAATAAATCATAATTATCTTATAAGAAATTTAGCATGATAAATGATACGATAAATACCCTCATATAGTATTTGAGTTGCCTTTTTACCAAATATTTTTTTACTTTTACTTGAGTACAAATACAGTGTTGAGTACAGTTTTTGGGTTCTTTATTCACCTTAGATTTCTACTTAAGTGGGTTTCTTTATTAAAAAGTTGCAAATATTTACTTTTAAATTCTGTCTTTGTTTTCTTACCCTCTAAATTACAAGTTTCAGGTATTATTCAGTACAATATCTTTTTCTACAGCTGTTTTATTGAACTTACATGACAAACCAATTACTTTTTTTTCCTCCTTGCTGTCTGAAATTGAGAAATTAATTTCTAATTTAGTAGAGTTAAGATTGCCAAGACTTTTTAAAAGATACTTTATTTAAATTCAGTAGTTACACTAAGATTACTGTGCTTTTAAAATAGCCCAGATAAGCTTGTCCCAATAAGCAATAATCAATCACATTATAGATTTAAATGAGCTTAATTATTTCCATTCTGATGATTAATGTATATATTTTACATAGACTTTATTGTAAATTTTAGCTGTGTTTTATTTGGATATTTAAAATATCTCCCCATTCTAGTGTTAAGTGTTCTTTGCAAAATTAAAGTTTATTTTTGACAGAGTGAAGTTGCATTATTATTCTATAAACAATATATTATGTGAAAATGGTTGCAATACAACAATGTTATTGTTTATTATCGCAATAATTTATTGGGCAATTTATCATCCAGTAAAATTAGTTTTCATGACAGGCCTCAACCCAGATGATGGTATCATGGATTATTATTCAAATTTCCAACATTTGAGGTAAACATTGGTACACATGTGGATGTATTTTAAGGCAACACCTCAAACTCTCTGCTTCCTTGTGCAATATCATCAAAAAAATACAAATTAGGTGATGAAGATGAGTACAAAAGTCCAGTTGTGCACCAGAGGTGATTATATTTTAGTTACAAAATATCAATATTTATAGTAAAACTGTTTTACTGTCCTGAAAGGGCGCTCAGAGAGGAAGAAGCCATTACTCTGATATCAACATTAAAGCTAGGTTTTAGTTTGCAAATATACTCGGAGACAAAGATCTTAATTTTCAGAGACAAATCTTGTGTTATGATGAAACCAAAACTGAGGAAACGACTTTAGCTTCTGGTGGAATCAACTAACTAACTCACTCTTTGGTTACCTAGCAACTCACTCACTCTTTGGTTACCTAGCAACAACCTGTTGAGTAACTGCCACCATTTCTCATAACTGCTTAAAAATAAAAATAAAAATAATGTAGAGTGAAAACTGGATAAAACAGGGAAGGTAATTTCAAATCTCTAAAACAAATCAAGAATTATTGATATGCTTGTATCATGATGCGTTTTTCAGACATATTTTGTCTGAAAAATAATTTGAACTTATTTAAACAATTTTATTTAAATAAATTTTATGGTAATACTTTATTTGAAGGGGGTTGAATAAGACTGTCATGACACTGTCATTAACATGACATAACACCTGTCATAAACATGACATAACACCTGTCATGAACATGAATAAGTCTTCATGAATATTTATGACTGTTGTCATAAAGTGTCATTTGGTAAATTATGACTCTTTTAATACAAAGTTGACATTATTCAAAATGTCTTCATTATGACAACTTGACATTAACCAAGAAATCATTACTGTTTAAACTTTACCTTTAATAACTTAAAGTTACCTAATTTTTAAAGTGCAATCAATAATACTTTTATAACAAATTTATATCAGTAATGATTTCTTGGTTATTGTGAAGTTGTCATAACAAAGACATTTTGAATAATGTCAACTTTGTATTAAAAGTGTCATAATTTACTAAATGACACTTTATGACAACAGTCATAAATATTCATGAAGGCTTATTCATGTTCATGACAGGTGTTATGTTATGTTTATGACAGTCTTATTCACCCCCTTCAAATAAAGTGTTACCAATTTTATTTTTAAAATAAAGAAAAATTATTGAGTGATTTATTTATTGTCGACTTTGTGGCTCTTTTTGTTCACAGCTTCAATTATTGAAACCCTTAAATATGGAGGTATTTATTAATATTTAGTTTTACCAAATAATACTGTAAAGCTCAAAATACACATATAAATGCCTCTAATTATTTGCACACTTATGAAAACATTTATATTTTGTTCAGTAAATATATTTTTCCCAGTTTTATTTCAATAAGAAATCAAGTTGTGGCACTTTTGCTGCTGTGTCTTTATGGGAGTTATAAATTCAGTTCTGCTCAAGCAAAAGAAAATATTTTCACTGAAGTCCCCAGAAGGCCCAGCACATTATCCCGTTGTGTCAGCTGTGCAGCCGGCCTGAACGGGGCTTTGGTTGCACCGCTGTTTCATTATTTAATTGGAAAAAGGGTTTCCACTCCTCGCTGAGTTTCCACTCCGCTTTGCTCTGCACAAACGGAGAAAGGGCTTCCATGATGGTCAGCTTTCCGGGAGGACTTTTTGTATTTTTGTTCCTTTCTCCTTGTCTGCACATTTAGTTGGAACAGGAAGAGTTATTGTGTGAGGCTGATGTTCTCCACCCGTAGCCACACCCTCCATCTTTTGCCAGTTTCTTCATGCTAATCCAGACTCCATTACTAATGTGGTTCCAGTTTGTTTTCTCACTATAAACTGTCTCCACACTTAAAACAAGAAAGGCTACTTTATTACAGTAAATTACAGTTTTACTTTTAGTTTAAAGCTTGTTTTCCAACATCATGTGTCAGAACTTGCTAGCTTCTGAAATATGTCGACTAACTCTTCCTGTTTCTGTTCATTCCCATAATTTTAAACAAGTCACACAACAGCGACTCATTTAATCCCTTTTGTGTTTAAGCAACTCTTCATCTGTTGGTGGAACGACAGGTTCTCACGCTCACTCGTCTCCAGAATAGGATTGAAATGATTAATCGGATTAATCACGATTAACTGTGATTAATCTTGATTAATTGATTATTGAAATAATCGGCAACTAAACTAAGGCCATTTACTGATTAAAGAACAAAATATTCAAAGCAGGAATTAAGGTTACAAAACATACATTTTGCATTTAAAATACAAAGAATATCTTCAAATATGTTCGACTAAGAACTCGTGGCATAGGTTTAGCTTAAAAAAAATCTCTTATCAAGCAATTTTTGCCCAATTATTAATCGATTAATCCCCCAAAATAACCAACCGATCAGCTGTGCGAGGTATGGATGTCAAATATAAAGGGCGAGAAATATGTTCTAGCTGCAAATGCTAAAGAATTGCTACAGATGGTCAGAATAATTTATTAATAGTCAGAATAATTGAGTAATCATCAGAATAATCAATTACTTGTCAGAATAATTGATTAATCATCACAACAATCAATTGTTATTCAAAATAACCGATTAATTATCAGATTCCTTGAGTAGTCATCAGAATAGCTGTTGGTCTCATTCCTCCTCCAGACACATGTTTCTGTGTTGGTCATTTACTGACTGATGTTTTCAGCCACAGACCTGCTGCTGGCCTGGAACCCGGTCTGCATGGGCCTGGTGGAGGGAGTCATCGGAAAGATCCAGCTGCACACTGGTAGGTGGGGGATGAAAACCATTTCAGCTGGTTTTGGTTTGTCACTGGCCCGTATTTTGCATGTGAGTTCAGGACAGTCGTGTCGTCAGTATTCGTCATGTTTGTCATGAGTAGAGGTGTGAAAAAATGTGTTGCTGTGCAAAGATGAGCAATCTGGGCTCTGTTTATGCAGGCCTCAGCATGGGTGAAGACTCTGTTCATCTTGTCTTATTGACACCCTTGGTAACGGTTTCCAAAAAGCCTTAAACTTAATTCATCTTTTTGATCACTGCATAATTGGGCAGTTTTGAACTCTAAAATTACATACATTTTTGAAAAATGTAGAAAAATCCAACCTTTAATTTGAGTAGATTTATTCAGTGTGGTAGAAAAAATCCTGTGGTAAAACAATCAGTCAACAAAACAAAGAAATATACAGGATCCAAAAAACCTAATTATCTCTTGGTTCATCTTCGTTTTAGTTCCAGTTGTCTTAAAGGTTTTAATTGTTGCTCTGACTTTCCAATATGAGGAAAAAATGCCACCATGTTGATCAATTTTGCAGTGGCGATATGTAGGGCTGAAACAATTAATTGTGATTAATCTATTATCTTTTCTTTCCCATTTTGATTACCTGCTTTTTAAAGTAAAATAAGCAAAATACAAGCTGCAGAAAATCACTGATCTAAATCAACTGAAGTGGGATTATTTTTGTCAGTGTTTAAGTGTTTCTGCAGATTGAGACGGTTTTATTTTAAGGTTTTATTCTACATCTTTAATATGTGTTAAAAGTGCTTCATATAGACAAATCAGCGAGATATAAATAGATTTTTACCAGATGCGTCTCTGTTAATAGAAGCTGTGGCTAGCGTCTTCACACCTTAGCGGTTCTGCACCAGTTGACCCAGTTCCCTTTGGTTTTTCTCTGCAGACCTTCCTCTCGGTCTCGTATTAATCCGCCAGAAAGCGCTGGTGGGTCAGTTACCTGGCGACCACAAGGTTTACAAGATCACCAAAATCGCTGTCATCCCCCTTTCTGACGAGGAGCCTCAGGAGCTGGAGCTGGAGGTAAATCACACACTCGTGGAAATCCCAGATTTCTCCTCAGAATATCGAATATGAGTCAGAGCATGATTCATCCCTGGAGCTGGAAGTGGTGGGAAATTGACTCTGGGTTGCTAAAAATATAGTTCTACACCTGAAATGACATTCAAAAAATGACAACAAATATGCTGAACGGTGCTAAGATTTCAGTTTTTCAGGGAGGCTTCTTGGATGGTGAGACTGAATATTTTCAAGTGAGTAACAAACGGAGGAGGCGAGTAGAGCAGAAGCTTTTAGAGCCGTAGTTTGATCCTGCACAGCAGAGTGTAAGTGACGTCTGTCGTCTTTTTCACGTAGGAATCCTGTAGATCAGCGTGTCAAACTCATCTACGTTCATAAAACTGTCAAAAATATTAATGAATAACTGCCTCTTTAAATTATATCACATTGAACATCTTTTCACACTGATCAGTCCCTCCAAGATTTTATGAATGTTTTTGCATTTTTTTGCAATCAAAATTACAATTATGGTGCTAATTTAGAAATATTTGCAAGGAATTTTTATTATATTTTTGTGCTAATATATGATGTTAAATGTGACTTTTTGTTACTTGTCGTATCAATAATTTAAGTTGATTTAAACCAACATAAGCTGGCTTAAGTCAACTTATGTTGGTCTACAACGGTTCCTTACATTCGTTTTTCATGTAAATATATTTACTGACAGGTAGAAAACCAATTTGGTAATCAATCATGTTGTTTTAAACCAACTCTAGTTGGTTTAAACAATGCTAAATTACAATTTTTTGACCATTTTGTAAATAAAAATTTGCAGTAAAATCACAAAAAAATGTGGAGATCTGTTGATTTTCCGAAATATTGGAGGGACTTACTGCTGTAATTTGGCGTCTAGAGGGCCTCATAAAAAGCTATGGCGTGCCAGATTTGGCCCCCGGTCCTCGAGTTTGACGCATGTTAAATTGGAACCAGAGCAATAGCTTGTAAAACTATTTTTACCCATTAAACTTTTCACATTTTGTCACGTTGCAACCAAAGACTTCAGTGAACTGTACCGTGATTTTTATGAACTCGACCAACACAAGGTGGAGCGCAATCAGGACGTATAACAAAACTGATGCAGGATTTTCAAAATAAAGCAGTGACAGAGAGGCGCAAACAAGTAGAAAACCATGAAACGAGCCGCAAACACAGGAGTGATTAAAACTACAAAACACAAAAATGTAACTGCATAAGAAAAGAGCAGCAAACAAAAAAAAATGCTGCAATCACGGAAAATAGAAGCTAAATATGGAGCCCCCTAGTGGTAATGGTGGAACTTTTCTTCTTTGTCATTAAAAGTATTTAATTCTCTCGCCAAACTATTGCGCTCCTACGCAGTAGTTTTGCTCTCTCTCACAGTAATGCTGTAGTCGGTTCATGAAGCATCTTGAATCCTGAAAGTCCTTCTGTTCTAATGTTTTTGTACATATTTTAATATCTCACTACTGACATTTCTGAAGTTTTATATCCTTTTCTTTAGAATACAAATGCACCACAAATTTATGTGCAAAATACAGAAGTAAAACAGGTCAATCATTGGTTTTCCATTCCTTCTAAGACATAAATAAAAACTTTATGTCAGAAAGAAAAAATGCATCCAAACTATTTGGAGTTTTTTTGAGTTACAGGGCACTAACGTCAGGTTTGATTGTGTCTTTTTCATCTTGGTAGTCTGAATGTTTAATAAAGATCAGTTTTCATGCACAGTCCCATCTCCACCTTTAGCAAACAAACATGAACAGGCAGTTAATGGATCGATTTTCAACCAGTTTCTGCACCAAAGACTGTAGATGCATGTTTTCACTGAGGATCTTTAAAAGTTTACATATCTGCAGTTTTAAATTGATATTTGTCAACTGCATACAAAATAGAGCAGGGTGTAATTTTTACTAATTTACGCAAAAGAAAGAATCTCCTAATATCCTGTAGGAGGCGCTGTTCCAGAAAAAAAAAATACTTGCAATTGTCAAAAAATGCAAATGAAAAATGCTGCAACCACAGGAAATGAAGCAAAAGGGGAAAATTCTGCCAACTGCAACAACAGCAAATATGAAACTCCCTCTACAAAATGGACGTCCTCCAGGCCACTAGGGGGAGTCTGGAGCAGTTAGTATTACCTATGTAAAGATGCTGCTGTTCTATAATATTGTGAAAGACATGAAATAAAATGCAACTTTTCTTCCTTCAGCTTTCTTCTGGACTCCCTCTAGTGGTTTGGAGGACTTTCATTTTGTTTGGAGTTTCATTCTTGCTGCTGTTTTTGCCATTTCCTATATTTTCCCATTTTTCATTTGCATTTGTTTTGCTAATTGAGTGATTTTGCCTCTATTTTCTGAGACTGCAGCAGTTTTTATTTTTAGCATTTTTTTTTTTTGTTGCGTTTGTTTTTTGTGTTTTGGAGAAATTTAAAGCAGAGTTAGGTTATAAAACAACATCCCAAGCTTTTAACATCTCACATTGTCTGTTCAGTTCATCATCTGAACATGGAGAAAGGATTTTAATTTACAATCCTGCCATTACAGGCCTTTAAACTCAATTCATGAAACCTCAGACCTCAGCACTGTGGTTGGATGTTTAGCACAGTTGGGTGCCCTGCAGCACAATAATTAGTTGTTCTTTCTATAAATCTGACCTTTATGAGGAGTGCACTGCAAAAACACAAACTCTTACCAAGTATTTTTGGTCTAGTTTCCAGTGAAAATAACTTGGTACAGTTGAAAAAAGACAAAACTAACTCTTAAATAACTTTTCAGTAAGATATAGCAGCTTGTTTTAAGTAAACAATAAGTAAACAATAGTATTGATGAAATAGTTTCTCTTATTTCACTTTTAACAAGATATTTTCCCCATATTATAACTGAAATAATCTGCCAGTGGAACTAATAATTTTTAATTAAATTAAGGAATTATTGACCTAAAACAAGTTGCTATGTCTTGCTGAAAAGTTATTTTAAGTGCACTAAGATATTTTCACTAGAAAGTAGACCAGTGATGCTTAAGTTTTGTGTTTTTGCAGTGTGGTAGATTGTTGAGAACGCATCGAGATGTCCTGATTATGTTCTTCCTCAATTAACATGTCTAAGAACATGCTCCAGTTAGATAAAGCTGAAACGTAACATTTACTGACGCGTATGGTTTTAACGTGACTAAACGAGAAAAACTTCCTACTTTAGTGAGTAATGGCAACTCTTTCCCCTTTAGCTCCTGTTTGCAGAGATGCTACCAGATCTCCTGAGCTGGTCGTTTGTTTTCGTGTTTCTCATGTGAAAATAAGTGTTTTAATTAATTCCTCGCAGCTTTGCAAGAAGCATCATTTTGGAATCGACAAATCGGAGAAACCGGCCCAGTCTCCAGATGAATCAAAGCTGATGAAAACTCTGAGTCAGATCAAGTCCAACGTGTCTGTTCCCATCAAGAAGAAGGTATTTCTGTTCAGACTGACCTTTTGCCTTCCTTATTCTGACCTTTGAGGTGTCTCATGCTGCTTCCTCTCTGCAGTACTCCCCTGCGTTCCAGGTGAAGGAAAACAAAGAGAAGGAGCGCCTGGAGCGGCGGCTGCTGGACGAGCTCTACAAAATATTCATGGACTCAGACTCGTTCTACTACAGCATGACCTACGACCTGACCAACAGTGTGCAGCGGCAGGGAGACTCGGATAAGTCCAGCTTACCTCTGTGGAAGCAGGTGGGAGAGAGACCTCACTGATCTCTGGCGGTGGGACTCTACTGAAATTTTAGGGCTGAAACGATTAATCGTTGACTAATTTAGTAATTGATTAATCGTTAACAGGAGAATACAGACTCAAAAAAAGGCCATTTGGTGAAAAAAAACTTATTCAGAGCGGTAATGACCCCAAAACTGTACAACAATATAAATATTTTACATTTCAGATGAACAAAAAAGCCTTTGTGCTGTAAAAATGTTTTAGCCAAAACTTCTCAAGTGGCAGTTTTAGCTTCACCTGGTTCAGATTTACCAAAGGAATGCTGTTGTAGCATTTTAGGCAATATGTTTATCTTATTATTTATTATTGTTTGCTTGCATCGTTTAATGTATTTCTAATTTTGTATTAAAAAAGACTTAAGTGGTTAAATAATAATCTGTAGAATGTGCCATTTTCTAAAACCAGTATCATCGATTACTAAAATAATCGTCAGTTGCGACAATGAAAAAATTTAATAGAGGTAATTGCATTAAATTGCATTTATATCAAAAACCAGTTATTAAAAAATTTGCAACGTTTTGACAGCCTTGATAAAGATTTCCAAAAAGTCTTAAACTTAGTTAATCTTTTTGATCATTGCATGATTGGGCAGTTTTTAACTCTAAAATCACATAAATATTTGAAAAATGTAGAAAATCCAACCTTTAATTTGTGTGGGGGATGCAGCTTTGTTGTCCATTATTGTAACGGATGTTGCTTGTGCGTCAGATTTACGGACCTACTGGAAACACAGCACAAAGGTTCCGGCTTAGGATTTTTGTATGCTTAAACAAAGAAGGAGAGATTAATTGCATAAAAATATATGTAATTAATTAAAACTCTGCCTTATTAATTTGTTTAAATCTATTTTCATTTTGACTGACTGTCTCTTTTTTTTAAGGTGGACGACCGTTTCTTCTGGAACAAACACATGATCCAGGACCTTATCAATCTGCAGGTAAGAAATAAAAGTTTCTGTTTATGATTGTGATTCTACTAAATGAATGTTTTTGAGCATTAACCGTTCATTTCTATCCAGGTCCCAGAGGTTGACTTGTGGGTTATTCCGATCATACAAGGCTTCGTCCAGGTGGAGGAGCTGGTGGTGAACTACAACGAGACGTCAGATGAGGAGCACAGCAGCCCAGAGACGCCGCCCAAGGAGATTATCTGTGTCGATGACATTCACCCTCGCTTCACCGTGGCGCTGATCTCCAGACGAAGTCGGCACCGCGCAGGTAGGCGTTCACACCAAGTCCTACCTGGAGAGCACTGAGTTAGCGCAATCTGTTGGCTGATTCTTTTTGTTGCAGCAGTTTAAGTTCATATATTAAAAAAAATAATAATAATCCAATATAATCCAATTACATTCTTTCAGTGTGGGGTAATAATCCAGCAACATGAAAAGACTAAACAAAATCATTTGTGCCACATTTATTGACATAGTAATTCTTAGGAAACAGATTTAACTGAAGCAGACTTTTTAAATATTGGATCAAAGTGTTTGATTAAAATCCATATTTTTTTTTTTTTTTTTTTTTTTTTTTTTTTTTTTAAAGAGCCTTGATTCAAAATGGGAATGTTAAAAAACATATCGTCCCATTGCTAAGGTTGGTGAAGGTTCAGTGATGCTGTGGGCCGACTTCTCTTTCTTCTGGATCTCAAACATTTTAAATATAAAGAAAACTGGAAGGCTGGTCTTACAACCGGACAATGATCAAAAACATATTTCCAAATCAGCACAGAAAGGGTTGATTAGACACAAAATCAGGATTAATCCACGCCCAACTCAGTCCTCAGATCTAAGCTCTGTTGTAAACCTCTTGAGCTGAAGTGAAGAGGTCATGAATCCGACCTGGCGAGACTGTGCAAAGAGGAACGGTCACAGATCTCTATCTTTCTTGTGAAATGCTGCAGCAGAAGACTAAACTCTTTTAGTTAAAATGTTACTTAACATTATAAGAGTACGCTTGTATAATGCAAGATAAATTCATTTTAAAGTGGACCTATCATGATAAATTCACATTTTGCAATTTTTTTGTACTTTCATTTGGGTCTCAACTGCTTCTAAAAACACACCCATCTGTTATTTTGGCAATAAGTTTTGTTTTTTGGTAAAATGAGCCGTTTCTAAAACCTTCTGAATGTAATGTCACAAATCGGTGAAGCCCAGCCTGTTGCCTAGCAACCCCAGCAGAGTTCCGCCCGTTACCTAGCAACCCCAGCAGAGTACCGCCCGTTACCTAGCAACCCCAGCAGAGTTCCGCCCGTTACCTAGCAATCCCAGCAGAGTTCCGCCCGTTACCTAGCAACCCCAGCAGAGTTCCGACACCTTTGTTCAACTGGTTTTACTGCTGTATGGGCTGTACAATGGCTGCTGGAAAAGACAAGAGTTTTGTTGTTGCCTTACCATCCAGAAAACATTTACAAGAATCCCTAAAACAGCTCATTCTGAAACTGAGCAGACTAAAATCTGATTGTCTAAGAATGATTTTGTACAATAAAAGTAAAGAACGTGTTTTATGTAGCCCATAGACCTATCCTAACCTGCTCAAGGAAACATATTTAACGGTTTTAGACATTTCTACCAGGCGTGAAAGTAATTCTAGAGGGTGCTGTGCCTGAACTGTGATGAATGTGTGATGAAGATGAGAACTGTTCTTATTTTAAAGGGATGCGGTACAAACGCAGAGGTGTGGACACAGACGGCCATGTGGCGAACTACGTGGAGACGGAGCAGCTGATCCACGTCCACAGCCACACGCTGTCCTTCGTCCAGACGCGGGGGTCGGTGCCCGTCTTCTGGAGCCAGGCCGGGTATCGCTACAACCCCCGGCCACGCATCGAGAAAGGTCAGAGGAGCTGGGTTATCTGAACTGGGGAGACGTTCACATTTAGGGGTTACGAAAACGTGTTCATAAAATGTGTTTTTATGAACACATTTTGTTTTTCTTTGTGTTTCAGGGGAGAATGAGACGATGCCTTACTTTGCTGCTCACTTTGAGAAGCAGCTGGAGCTTTACACGAAGCAGGTCAGTTTGAGTCACAGCGCTGAGACGTTTGAGGGTTTTCTGTGGTTTCTAATGTGAATTTAACTCTTTTCTCCATCTGTGGATTTAAATGTTGAACCTTTTCCAGAAAATTTATTTTGTTGCTTCCAATCTTGAATTTCTTGATGTGTGGCATATTGAGATAATTTTGGGCCTACTTCATGTAGTCAAACTGGTTCTATTTAAGTGTTTTCTAGTTTCTTACTGAAGGATGTTTAATATATTGGCATCTATGTTGATGTTTGTCTTTTTTTAACATATTGGTACCACTCCTAAAAGTAAAACTCAGGTGACAAACCACAATTTTACTGATTTTTGTATTTATTTAGGTTATGCTATGATTTTTTTTTACATTTACCTTTATCAGAAACTTGACTAAAGAGTGAAAAAGAGAAGAAATCCGTATGGAGCAAACACATCCACCACCCTGTAGTTGTTTTCTTTAAATCACACGTTGCTTCGTTATTTATTGCAGGTGATAATTAACTTGGTGGATCAGAACGGCCGGGAGAAGATAATCGGGGACGCGTATCTGAAGCAGGTCCTGCTGTACAACAACCCAAACCTCACTTACGTTTCCTTCGACTTCCACGAGCACTGGTAGGGAAAACGCTGCGCTGACTGGGCTTTGTACGTTTTACTACACTGGCTTCACTTCCTCTTTGTGCTTCTTACTTCCTGTTTCTCAGTCGTGGAATGAAGTTCGAAAACGTGCAGATACTGACAGATGCCATTTTTGACATCATCACTGACATGAAGTGGGCATGGTAAGCAGTGCCTCTGTCCAAAACAATGCTGTTACCATGAACACTGAAGCATAGACGGTTTATTAATATTAACTATTTTAATGTTTGGTTCATCTCCATTTAAATTAATAGGGAACAATTTAATGTTTTGCTTTTTACAGTTTACAGAGTAGACAGAAACTCCTGATTTGACCTAAAAATAACAAAATAAAAATGTGTTTAACTCACCATCACGACCACATATTGAAACTAACATGATTCATTTTTGGTATATTTGTGGTAAAATTAGTCTACTTTCAGATGATGTGTGTGTTATTGTTGTAGAAATTACCGTTAAATCCCTCCAAACAGAATCCTGCTCATAGACTTTAATGTTATTTGTCTGGATGTAAAAAGCATCTTTACATTGTCGTGTTAAACTCAAGAATTAATGTAAGAAGTTGAAAATCTCTTCAAACGGCCAGCAGACTTTGCTCTCACTTCTGGTCCAAAAGGTTTTCCAATACCTTGTTCTGCTTTTGAACCAGAGCCGCATTTTCAGCCCTTATTACTGTAAAGTCCTGGCCTCTTGGGGAATCGCCATGGCAACCCTTACATTACAGAAGTTTCTCTGTAAAGTTTACAAATACCCTTCAAAATAAGACTCTGAAACTTTCATAAGGAGTAAAGGAAGGATTCAGATTCCTAATTGGTTTATAGGAAAGATTGATTTATTTATTGTTTTTAAAATAAAGATAATAGAAAATCCTCAAATTAAGAGACACAGTCTTATATATTTACATTGGTGATAAACCTTGTCTTTCAAAATAAAATATTCAGTGTTTCAAAGTTATCTTGCTGAAAAATGATGTTCCAAAAGAATAATGGAAGCAGAAGCAGTGAAGGAAAAGGGATGATGATCACTTTTCAAAGTGCAGCTTTTTAATTAGGGAAACTGAATAATTCCTGAAAAATAGGTTTTAATGGGCCTTCCAGATGATTTATAAAATAAAAGTCTTGACCTTTTAATGGGTTAGATTTTTAGGAAAGTTGTTCCATAATACTTTGGGGCTCAAAAGAACAACATTAATCTTAATTTGTTCTTGGATTGTCCATGTTATTATTATTTTATTTCTTTTTTGGACCTGACCAAACAAGCAAAGTTAATTTATGTTGGACCTCCAAGTGGCACCATCAGTATTTCTTCATACATTTTTCTCATTTTCATTAATGTCAGATTGAATTTGTGTTTCCTGAATGCGGTTAATTGACTCCGTCTGTCAGGGTGGACCAAGCTGGCGTCATCTGCAAGCAGGACGGGATCTTCCGGGTCAACTGTATGGACTGTCTGGACCGGACCAACGTGGTCCAAGCTGCCATCGCTCGAGTTGTGATGGAGCAGCAGGTACGAGTTTATTACATATTTCATCATCGTCTAGCACCAAAACACCTATTGAGTTTTGAACTATAGCTATTTTACTCTGATAGCAGAGGAAGTGAGTTGAGTTTTTTCCAGGCCTATAAAATACCACAAATATCACCTGAAACTGCTCGATATCAGTCAGCTGGCTGAAAATAGGCTGAATATATTTCCCTTGTTTAGACGAACAACATTTTCTGATTAGAATTATGTTCTGTTGGAAAAACAAAAATATGGAGTGATTTGCAATGAGAATCATTGCAAAATTCCTTGCAAATGTTTCCGAAGAACAAAATCACTGATTTTAACAGCAAAAAAAATGACAAACCCTTTTTGTTGACCGACTGACGTGGGGGAAGTGAAGAGAGAAACTTTGGGGCTGCGGTTTGAGAAGAGTTTCTGTTCTTTTACTTTTTAAGAAAGGAGGGGAAACGCTCTCTTTAATGAAGAGTAGCAGAGAAGTTTGGTCTAAATATGCATCTGGGGGCCATCTGCACAGCACTGAACACAACCCAGTATGCAGAAAATGAGACCAAGGAGACGGATGTGGGTTAGATAAAAAATAGACCTGAGGACAGAGACACGTGGCTAAAAAGATTTGATTCGTAGCAGAGAATCAAAATTATATTCTGCTTAGCAACAACATAAGAACTTCCATAAAAGTTAGTAAGTCTGTGTTTGTCGTTATATTGTTGCTTTAAACTTATTTTCTTCAAATACTGTGAATCTGTGGTATTTTTTATAAAAATATCTGACAGTTTTAACAAATATATAGAGAATATTTTTCACAAACGTTACACCTGCAAACAAAGAGACAAATTAAGAGGTTCAGGCATAAATAAAACAAATTCAACCTTCTTCCATGGCCAACTATCACCACTACCACTGTGTCCTATACTGAGACTATGTCTTAGTTAAAAAAGGCAAAGAACGAGCTTCTTGTTCTGATTGGCTACGATAGTGAGACGTTACATCATCATTCCCGTCGCCCAGCAACCAAATTCCAGTTCCACTGACAGATTATTTCACTTTTAACGAGGCATTTTCCCCTCAATATAAATGTTTATATTGAGGAATTATTTACTTAAAAACTGCTATGTCTTGTTGAGAAATTACTTATCAGTTAGTTTTGTCTTATTTGAAGTGAATGAAGATATTTGCACTAGAAACTAGACTAGCGCTGTCAATCACCCTTGTGCACTCGCTGTTAGATGTATTAATGGTGAAGAAACAACTCACCATGACAGAAAAACTATATGATCGTCATCGGTAGCCTTACTTACTAACTAGCTAAACTAGCCTATCGGGAAGAAGAATATCGCACTGGGAAAAGGCAGAGGAGCTTGATTTTCTGTTTTCACAGTTTGTCTCATAAAAACAGTTTCAACAAATATCTAAAAAAAACATAAAATAAATTCATAAAGTTACGTTCTGCAGCTTTAAAGTTGGTTTTGACGTGTTTTCTTCTGTGCAGCTGAAGAAGCTGGGTGTGATGCCTCCGGAGCAGCCGCTGCCTCTGAAATGCTACCGGATTTATCAGGTCATGTGGGCCAACAACGGCGACACCATCAGCAAGCAGTACGCAGGAACAGCCGCCCTCAAGGTAGCACCGCTTCCAACTTAGCTAGCTTTGTTTAGCAGCCAGTTCTGCCTTCACACCAGCGACTCGGCTGAGAAAAGGTTATGTCACTGTTGTTGTCACAGGCTGTGCAGTTCTAAGAGTGCAAATGAAGTACGGTTGAAGTTTTAATTAACGCACTGTTTGCTCTGCTTTAGGGAGACTTCACGAGGACGGGGGAGAGGAAGCTGGCCGGCGTGATGAAGGACGGCGTGAACTCTGCCAACCGCTACTATCTCAACCGCTTCAGAGACGCTTACAGACAAGCAGTCATTGGTACGGGAGCTCACAGCACATTTTCATATTTTAATTTGACGGAAAAATCTGAAACCTGTCATTTTGACAGATTACGTGGCGCAGACGTGCCCAACAATATTAACTTTACGCACAGAGTAGATCGCTGAGGTAACTAAATCACCTCCCATATCGACAGCCCAATCTAAACTTTGGCTGAAGTTTAACAATCCTACAGTTCATCCAGAATAGATGAAGCTAAAGAAAACCCTATGTTGTGTTTATTTATTGTTTAAATGGAAGAGTCGACAGTCTACCTTGCTAAAAATAGAAAGCAATGAGTTAATTAGACTGTAAGAAGCGGCTCCGCCTTGCGCTGCTGGAGCTGCAGAGATTCCATCCTTTCTATCAGCCATCCCAGAAGTTTTGCTCTTGACTCATCCTGAGTCCAAACGGAGCTGGAAGATGTCAAAGGAAGCTGGGAGAAGATTGGCTGCTTATTCGAACGGTTCTCTAAAAACAAAGCAGTAAAATCTTCATTAAAATACGTTGGGTTAGGGCTCGAGCCTCTAAAGTTAATCAGTTGGGTTGGGTCAGATTTAATGGACTCGGTCCGGGCGGGGTTGAATATTTTAGGTCTGATTTCTCGTCTAGATGTGAACCAGGAGGAAGTTGTGAATTTGATTAATTTCATAGTTCTGTCAGTGGTTTTTATCTGCATCATTAATGTGTGATTGAATATAAATTAAATCGCATAAAAATTAAATCCATCAGAAAATCCCATGTCGATATCATTTAAAGATTTGCAGAATATGTTTGATCGGATGTGACGGAAACCATCCTTTTGGTGAATCTGCGGCTCCTTGCAGATCTGATGATGGGTTTGCCCGTGACGGAGGACCTGTACTCCATCTTCAGCAAGGAGAAGGAGCACGAGGAGAAGGAGAAGGAGAGCCAAAGAGGAGCGCAGGAGCAGGTGGGGCTGCTGCTGCAGACCTACATGCAGCTGCTGCTGCTGGACGACGAGACGTTTCACGGAGGCTGGGCGCTCATCAACTGCGACATGAGGTGAGGAGTCTGCCCTCTCGCTGGACTCCAGATTCATCCGTCCATAAACCAAACAAGAAGGAGCTAATTTACATCTTTATTCATACATCAGTAATCAGTCAAAAGCTATCAACGTTGCAACTGAAGGAGGAAATTTCTTCTTATCAGGGAGTTTTGTGTCAGATTTGTATCGCAGAGTAAGAAAAGAAAAATTAAGAGAATAAAGCTGAAATATTTGGAGGGTGAAATCATAATATTGCGAAAATAAAGTTGTAATGATACAAAAATAAAGTCCATAATAATAATAATAATAATACAAGAATAAATTATGAATCATTCAAAAATAAAGACATAAAAATTGCATGAAAACAAAGTTTCCATAATAAACTTTTATTATGAGAGCAGCTTAATAAGCTGAATTCAGCTGAATCTGGTGCAAAGCATCTTTTATTAATGTTTACCTTTTTTTAAATAAACTAAACTAATATTACAGGAATAAAGTCGTACGATAAACTCACTCATATGAACAGAACCAGTTCAGAACCAGGTATAATCTGATGTGTTGCTCAGTCAGTGTTTTCATTTTTTCCTGCAGCCTCATTGATGCGACCAACAAAGATGTGGATGTTCTGCTGCTGCTGTCGGATAAAGCCTACTACATCGCTTAGTGAGTCGGATCCAAACCTCACCGTCCGCTGTGTGCGCTGCGGCGGCTGACTAACGCTTCGCTTTGTTTTCTGGTGCAGCTACGACGACGAGGCGGATAAAGTCAACCAGTACCAGCGTCTCGACTTGGAGGGCTTGGAAAAGATTGAAATTGGTGAGAAGTTAAAGTCAAAGGAGAAGTCCGTTCGCATTCACTGAGTCACCCAACACTTCCTGAAAGTGTGCTTACAGCTTCTCAGTAACCTTTTAGCAACATCCTCACTGAATGTGATTCATGCAGTGACAGCAGATTATTAAAAAGAACAGAAAAAAATGGATGTGATTGGGTTTATGCAGGTCCGGAGCCCACTCTGTTCGGGAAGCCGAAGTTCTGCTGCATGCGTTTGCACTATAGGAGTCAGGAAACCAGTGGCTACTTCCACACTCTGAGGGCGGCGACGCGCAACCCGGACGACGACGGGAAAGGTAAGGAGGCAGAGAAGAAGATCTTCTCTGGTTTCATTTTGGACTGATTCAGGACCGTAAACGTCCTCATTTCCTGACTTTGACACCTGAGTTCTGAGGCGTTAAGCATGAAGTGACGACTTCCGTTGTGACATTTTTCAGATACGCTGCAGTGCATCGCTGAGATGCTCCGCATAACAAAGCAGGCCTCCGGGCTGGACCTGCTCGTCGTCGAGAAGAAGCTGGAGAGGCGAGTATGAAGTAGTGCAAAAGTATTCAAACCAGTTCTGTCGCATTGTTTACAAACACAAACTTCACTGTATTGTATTTTAGGCTGTTTTCTCAGCTGATAGTTCAGTAGATTCGGTTCTATTAGGGACCAAAGTTGCAACATTTGTTACATTTCCAGCTGCTGTGGTTCACTTTCATATTGTACCAAAGCCTTTAAAAAACCTGTTCCCCTCCTCGCCTGTGGGGGCGCTGCACCTAGAACCACTGAAGGAAACAATACAAAAACCTCAGAAGAAGAAACTGATCACTACTTCCTTCTTGAAATGTAAACCAAACTGGAGCAGCGTGTCCAGCTTTTGTTTATTTACTGCTGTGAATAAGTTTTCTTCTAAGCCAGTGGTGGTTTTTAGAGTCTCCACTTCAGTTATCAATAATCACAGTTAATCATTTCAGCCCAGTGATTTTGGTGTTTCGTCCGTGTTGCAGGCGGCAGAGTAAACCTCATGAGGACATCATGGGGATCCAGAACAAGCCTGCGGGTCAGGCTGCGGGCGGTTCTGGACTCGCTCAGGGGAAAAGTTTCCTCCTCAACAAGTTCTCCTCCCTCAACCAGAAGGTGAAGCAGACCAAGACCAACGTCAACATCGGCCCCTTCAAGCCGCTCGGAAAGCTGGGGAACTTCTCCAAGCCCGACGTGACGGTGAACTTCCTCAAGCCCACCATGCATGTCAACCTGTGGAAGTCGGACAGCAGCCTGGAGACGTCGGACGGAAACCCTGGCGCCGCCGCGCTCGGCGTCCGGGGCGACGAGCGCTACGAAAACGACTCGGACTCCGACTCGTACAACTCTGACCCCGAGCACCCATGCTCCGGCTCCTTCGACAAGGCGGACTACGTCCTGCCCAGCTGCGGCATCGTGGCGTCGAACCCGCGACTGGGCAGCCGCTCGCAGTCCATCGGCAGCGGCGAACTCAACGCTCCGTCTGTGATACACGTCACCGGCTGCCAAGATGGAGTCTCTGACATCAACGACAAGTCGCCCGGCGCCGCGTCGCTGGCGGAAGAAGCACTGCTGATCGACTTTGGGACGCCCATCGACGCCTACTGCCAGCAGTTCGTTCAGGACGCCCAGACCAAACCGGTGGAGGTGTTCGGTGAGCTGCCGGCGGCTGGGGTCGCGCCGCCGCCGCTGCAGAAGAAGAAAACCCCCGCAGACTCTGAGCAGTCCAACCTGCAGACCCAGAACCAGGACGCCCAGCTGCCCCGGCCGTCCCAGCTGGACGTCCAGACCTCTACCTCCGGTTCCAACCTGCTGTCTGTCCAGCGGCCCAGCTCGGCGGCGTCGGGCGGCTCCCAGCGGAGCCTCAGCTCCCTGATGGAGGGCAGCCTCGGACCGTCGCCCGCCGACAGCAACGGCAGCCGCGTCGTGTCGCCGTTCGCCAAGATCCGCAGCTCCATGGTGCAGGTGGCCAACCTGACACAGGCGGGGCTCACGCAGGGCCTCAACTACGCTGTGGCGAAGGTCCAGAAAAGCCCCGACCCGGACACTGTGAGCGAGGCCCAGGAGAGCGATCTGAAGGCAATGTTCACACAGTGCCAGACCAGGATCATCCAGATCTAGAGCCGTTTCTCCCCTCCTGTAGCAGGATTTTCTGGTCATCTTGAAACCTCCCGTGTGGTAGCAGCAGCAGAAGCTTGCACAGAGTCATTATTAGGCCAATCAATGTGCTCTTAGATTCGCCCTTAAAGCTGCAGTATGCAACTTTTACAAAAATGTTTAAAACACAAAGTCTCACCAAGTATTTTGGTCTAGTTTCTAGTACAATAAATAAGAAAATAAGAAAACTAACTTACAAGTAACTTTTCAGCAAGAAGTATGATCTTGATCTTTAATATTGATTAAAAAGTTTAAGTTTCACTGGCTGATTATTTCTCTTATTTCACCATCGTTTCCTAGCAACGCCTGCCGAGCACTCAGCCGTCGCCTAGCAACCGAGTTCTAGTTCCACTGGCAGATTAATTCATAACAAAACATTTTCCCATGCTAAAAATGAAACAATCTGATAGGGGAGCTGGTACTTTTTCATCGATATTAAGGAATTATTGAGTTAAAACAAGTACTTATATCTTGCTGAAAAGTTACTTGTAAGTTAGTTTTGTTTTATTTCCAGTGAACTTGGATATTTACATTATAAACTAGAACAAAAACACTGGATAAAATTTTGTGTTTTTGCAGTGCAACATGTTGTGACAGATAATCTGAGAACATTGATTCACCTCCTCCCTGTCCTGCTGTCTGAAGACATTCACAGCTCCCAACCAAAAACAACCAATCAGAGCCAGGAGGAGGAGCTTACCGCTGTCACTCAAGCTTTTGAACGTGTTGCTAAATTTGCTAATGTTGAAGGACCAACTTACCGTTACAGGAAAACCATCTGTCCACCATCATCGGTGGCCAGGCTAACTAGCTTTAGCATCCATGGCAGGCTAAGTTGTGGTGAACTAGCTGTAGAATGATTGACGGCGCTAAGACCCGCCTCCTGGCTGTGATTGGTTATTTCTAGTTAGCACTAGAAGAAGGCAGAGGAGCTTGATTTTTTATTTTTCTTTATTCACAGATTATCTCATAGTGTCACAACATGGTGGCAGTTTATATAAAACTTTTTTTTTAAATGAAAGTTACAAACTGCAGCTTTAAATGAGCCTTACCACTCCCTCCCATCATGACAGCGACCATGTTTACATGCACACAAGTACGGATTTCCTACTTCTTTTGTTGTTTGAGCACTGATTTTGTTTTTCCACGCCACCTTGCACACTGAAACATATTAATATATGTCCTCCTATATGGCTTATTGGTGCCTCACAGTGGAGATTGCTATGTTATTAGCGTACCAGCTGGATTTAGAAATAGAATAATTACAAGGTTACGGTTTTTTGTATGTTTGGAAACTGGGATTAGCAAACATTCCATCCAAATCCTTAAACATCCCATAATAGACATGGGTCTGTATGAGGCGTGATAGGAAAAAAACAACAAATATTCAAAACAGATTTCAAACTAAATCAGCTGTTTTCAGAAGATTAGCGCCACAGAAAGCAGTTTAAATTCTGACTGTAATCTTGGAGAATTAAAGTAAAAATTCTGAGAAAAAAAACTGAATTCTGAGGTTCAGAGTTTTAAAGCACCTTAAATTTGTTAGCGTTTCGGTTTAAGTGAAGCATAAAGCTAATTACACCCCTGCTGTCCTTGCTAATGTTAGCTGGTTAGCATTAGCATTACCTCATGTTCTTCACTTCATCTGCTTCCTGTTAGTAGACCTCAGGCTGGTTTCAAAAACTGAATTAACACTTTTAGGGGAAAAAAATAAAGCTGGGGCCTGAAATTTTTTTAAAAATAGTTGCAGAGAAAGATGGCCGTCAGTGTGCACCTGACTTTAAACTGTAATAAGAGGAAATTTTACTGTTTTATAAACTTAAACCTTTTTAAACCTCCATACACGACGGAGCGTTATGGCCAGACTCAGAGAATTATTATTTCTTCATCACTAGAATGAAATCATAATATTATCAGAGTAAAGTCACATTATTTGCAAAATAAAAGCGCTAAGTTATCAAAAAGTGAACATTCATCATTTTACTGCATTATTATTGCTAATATTGCTGGTTTATGCAGATATTACAACTTTATTCTCGTAATATTGCAACTTTTTCTTGTATGATTGTTACTTTATCCTTGTATTATTTCAACTTTATTCCTGCAATGTTACTTTATTCTGGTTTTACTGGGGCTTTATTTTAGTATTACGTCTTTTTTGTTGTATGACTGCGGCTATTGTTCCATTATTATAACTTTATTATCTGTACGACTATTCTCCTATTATTACAACTATTCTTGTAGTACGTTATTTTTGTTTTATTCTGTACTCCCAATGTTACTTTATTCTGGTATGATTGCGGCTTTATTTTAAAAGTATTCCAACCTTTTTGTTGTTTGATTGCGACTATGTTCATGTTTTAGTACGCCTTTATTCTGGTGTCATTGCAACTTTTTTTGTATATTTTCATAATACAGCAATTTTGTTGCGTGATTACGACTTTTATTAGGACCTTTTTGTTTATGACTTTATTCTCGTGATTTAAAAAAGTAATACAGATTCCTAGTCTGGCCTTAAAGCTCCGTTGTAGTAAACAAACCTTTCTGCTCCGTAAAATACTTCAGCTTTCGAAGTAATCCACTCCACTGATCAAGTTCTGCTACATTTTTTTTTTCTTGTACAACTTTTACTTTCTGAAACTTGAAGATCATGACGTCCCAACTCTGCTTGCGTGCAACGTTAGCGGCAACAGCTGGCTAGCATTAGCTGACCTGCTCTGATTTAATCATGTGCTTCGTTTCATCCCATATATGCAGATCACCGCTAAGCTGGACCTGAGCTTCTTGTAGAAATAAACCAAATCTGTGGATCCCAAAGGACAGTAACGTTCGGCGTGCTACCCTCCTGTGTATAAATTACCGAGCTAGCCAGACAGCACGCTGTACGTAGGTATTAGCTAACATAAGTGTTGTCGAGTTACTTAGACGGTAGGAACTAGTGAGAGTATCCTGGTTGTTCATATGTACAGTGAGTTGTGTTTGACCCAATCGCTTTTCGTTTTGCATTCGCCATCAGAGGTTCGGCTCGTTTCTGAGGGTTGGGTTCGGATTCAGTCCAACCGGCGCCGGAGTGTAGCATATAATACGCAGACATGCAGATTCACAGTGAGCACTGACGCTTTATGCACTCCCCTACGCTGAAGTTTGCCTTAACTGGGAACTCGAGAGGCAGAATTACGTGTTTCAGGTATTCGATGCAGAATCTACCTTTTTTTATTTGTTACATTTAGAGCACTGCTGGGAATATGTTCAGGGTTACCGTCTCTATTTAATCTATTTTCTGTTTATGGAAACATAGACACTAACTGTAGGTTGTCTCCATGTGCTGCTGCCGTAGATCCCTGGATGTATTTGGATTAAACTTCCTGTTTTGCATGTATTTTTCTTATAATACATGCATTTAACCTGAAGAAGTGACTTTTGCTTTTTTAATTCATTTTTTATTGTTGCTGTTAAATATAAGGATCTTAAGAGGCCCTTCCCTGTATCATGCTGTGTGCGATAAAAGGTCAAAGGTCGTATTCACTCCATTTTCCTCACCAGCAGCTGAAATCGGGTAGACTTGTATATTTATCTTGTTTAAACCGTTAAAGACCTGCCTGCTTTGAATTGCCACAATTCAATACAAAGTCGTTAAATATCTTTACATGTGATAATCTAAATAAAATTATGACAATCTAAAGAAAACAAACACTTGAAAAATAAATGTTTTAAATTTCCAAGAAGTTGGCTGTTCACAAACGTCCGGAAAGTTCAGTGGAAGGAGAAAAATATACATTAAACATTTATACTTGAGATAATTTAAATGAAATTATCATAAATTTAAAAAAAAAATTACTTGTAATTTTATAAATATCCAATTTTCAAAATGATGGCTGTGTGCAAACGTACAAAGTTCAGTGGAAGGAAAACAAAATAAATGAATGGAATTTCAATTTATTGTTAAAATGTATGCAGCGATTATGGCATCTAATTATTTTACAGTCCTGAGTTGCTTTGTGAAATTATTTGAAGTCATTATGGACTGTTGTTCCAAGAAAAACTTAATAATTACTGAAATAATTCAGTTTATTCAAATGTGTATTTGATGTTATTACAAGTATGTATCTAGCATACTTGTAATATTATATACTAAAATTATGTTAAAGTTTTGTTTAAGCTATCATGTGTGGATATTTGAGAACGTATTTGTTGAATTGTGGCAGTGTTGGGCCTCCGTAGCTCTGCTGACAGTAGGTGGTGCTGCCAATGCTTCAGGGTGATTTCCTGCAGTGCAACGTTTTCACGCTGAGGTTTAAACGTCTTCGTTGTAAACACTGGAGCAGTTCTCGAGCTTTCCGTGCGGTGAACAGGAAAAACTCAACATTCCTGATGAACAAGAGTGTCGCTGTTTTTTTTTGTTTTTTAATATGCAAAAGTTGTTTTTCTTCAAATATCTGCTGGGTGAGATTTATCTTACATTTTCACACCAACTGCTTTTTTTCTTCCAATTAGGACCCAACATTATGACTTAATTGTGCAATTAAACATGTTCAAGCATTTTATTTGCACTGATTAAGCACATCCTCCTAGTCTGCAGTCATGTCGTTCCTCTACCAACTGACTGTTGTCATTGTTTTCCAGTGTACTGAAATTGTATTGTATATTAAAGTATCCTATTTATTCTTAACTGTGGGTGTGCTACTAATTTTTAATAAGTTTAATTTTAAAGCATCAATGAAATTTCAGAAATTTAATTCAAAAAGTTCTACACATTTATATTTTCAGAGTGAATTTAATTTTAATTGAGTCAGACCCAATAAGAAAAAATATAAATGTATCAAACTGTGGGAATATTATGCAAGACCCAGTGCTTTTTTTTTTTAAACAATCGCAAATGTTGGCAATTTGAAGATTGAAAACAATGAACCATTTTTATTAAGTTTAGAATATTAAGTTTAATTTTGCTCTGCAGCCGCTCTGTCAAACATTTGACAGCACATCAGTGCCAAGAGATGGGAAAATGTTTAAAAAGTACATTTTCACCAAAACACTCTGGAATTTTCTAGAAAATAACTTGGAAGTTTCTGACTTGAAGTCAAATATTTGCTAGAAAAATAACAGAAATTTTCAGATTAGTCTCAGTTTATGAAAACGTAAAATTTTGAGTTTCAAAAGTC